AGGAATGATACTATCAGACCCTTAAGATGGGGACCTCCAGTGGAGATGCACGTGAACATTTCCCTATGACCTGTCCCTCCCACGTGGACCAGTTATCTTCCCCAACTGCCTAAAGGTTTCTTTTTTGGTCTCATAATATTAGAAACAACTTGTGTTACATATCAGTGAAGAAAAACACTGATGAATAAATATAAATTACAAGAGCCAGTGCTGAGGGAAAAAGAGAACCGTATTGGAGTCCTAGACTTGTGTCAAATATCATAGGCACCACTGAATCACACAATGGGTGCATCTACATGAGACGCTAACTGCGCAGTAGCTTAATAACAGTGTGCAGTAGCATGCTGAGCAAAATCCATTCTATCATGCTACTGCACACTAAATTTTAGGTGATTGTGCTGTTAGCATCAATAAAAAAACATGCGCTGGTGTTACTGCACAGTAGTGCAAGTTATTGTGCATGTAGTGCTTGGTTATCAAAGTACTAAACTTCATGTGCAGTAACTGTGGCACATTAATGAACGTGTAGACACACCTAGTATTTCCCATATTCCACAAAATTAGCCAGTGCAGATCTCTAGTTCTGCTTGAGTATATACCATTCAAACCTATATGAAACTGAAAAATGTAAGGTTTTCTTCATGAATGAACTTGTCCTCATGACCCTTTACATAGCCATTTCTCTTTGGAGCATAAAAAGATGCAATACACCAGATTAACTTATTTTTTATTAAAACAGTCTTTGTTTTCCTTTAAAGGGCCTGGCATGTAAATGAGATTCAGCTCCTCTGGCCTTGTCTGCAAAGAGATCCTCTCCCTATTGCTGCTCTAATCTGTTCCCACCAGTATGGGATTAAGATACAGATGTGATAGGGCCAGTCCCTGGAACTGAGAGACGGAAACAAGATTTCAATTTCCTCTTAAAAATAAGACTAACTTTACTCCCTAAGCTGAGTGGAACTTTTATTTTATCAGCTGGGATGCGACACAAGGCTCATTTTTTCCTCAGGAGTTTGCCTGGAGGGTATGTATATTTTTCTCATTTAAAAAATCATTCATTGTGCTACATTTTTTCATGCATCCTGGAATTTGATAACATGATTTTAAACATTTACTAGCATGCAAGATGCTTCATACTTTTGCATCCTTTTCCACTATTGACACCACCCTGAGTTTCTTTCAGTCCATGACCACATTCTGACTGCTGTGCTCTCACTGGTATCAAAATGGTAGACTGAAACAGAAGAGAGGAAGGGAGCAACGTGCCAAACTCCTGCGAAGCTTTTTTTTTTTCCTTCCTCTCCATGTCACAAAAAAGAGGGAAGGCTAAGAGCTGGCATTTTCTGAGGGGTGCCTTGAGGGGAGTGGGAGTCTGTGTGGGCAACAGATAAGATTAGTCTGCAGGTGCTCTCTGGATCCAGGAATAGAAATCACGGGAAGTCATAGACAAGTCCCTCGTGACAAACCCCACCCGTCAACCTGCTGGCTTTGAACTACCATGGCCAGAGTGGTCCCTGCTAAGCAGGCTCAGGACAGGCCAAGGCCCCTGTGCAACCAACCTTCACCTCTGGGGCCAACGCCGGATTCAGGCACAAGCTAAGCAAGCTACAGCTTAGGGCCTCACATTATGAGGGGCCTCTAAGCATCAGCTGCTGGACTGGATGTGACCGCGGCCTGGCAAAACATGGCCCCACAGAGCCAGGCAGAAAGGCTGCAACTCCTCCCGCAGGGCCCACAGCAGCAGCGGTTGGGGTTTGGGCCACCCCCTGTCTGGGGGGGTGGGAGTAACTTTACCTGTGTTTCGGCTGTAAATACTGGCTGCCGGGCCCTGCAGTTGGTTAGGCTGCAGCCGGTTGCAGCCTGGGCTGTGGCACAGAGAGGTTGGGAACCCCGAGCTCAGGGCCCCACTGTCACCATCCAGCCTGGCTGGGGCCTCAGTGCTAACCCACTGGGCACTGGAGAGGCGCAAACAATGCCGCACATCCAGGAGCATCCCCTCTACCAACTAAGAGCTGGATTAATAACTCTGAATTTAGGGAATGAGGAAGCTATTGCTTGGCTTCCCACATTTGGAGTCACTAAATACATTTAAATAAATAAAATTAGCCTATGGCCGCAGACTGCATTCATTTGACCTTGATCGAAAGTCCTGCACGTGACAGCAACACCAGGTGCACCCTGCCAGGCCAAACGCGCACACGGGGGGATTTTTATAGGGATGATTTTCCCAATCACGGGAAAAAAAACCCGGGGCTGGGTCGCGCCGGCCTCTCATCACGGGAAGCAGCAGCAGCAGTGCGGGGAGGACAGCCCGGGCCCGGGGGCAGCGCCCACCTCGAAGGCGAGCCAGGAGTAGGGCGACACCACATCGTAGAACAGCTGCACCCGCCGCGCCGCCGCCATTGCTCCGCTTCGCCTCGCCTCGCCTTGGCT